GATGGCTTGCTCAGCCTTATACAGCCTAGGAACACCTGCCCAAGGGGGTAGTGCCCACAATGGGCTGGGCTCTCCCACATCAATCACTCATCACAACACCCTATAGAGCTGCCTGCAGGCTAATCTGACGGGGGCATTTCCTCAACTGAGCTTCCTTTTCTCAAATAAATCTAGCTTGTGTCAAGCTGACAAAACAATCAACAGGCATGGAATGCCCACATCATGACAAGGGGACCACAAGGTCCCGTTGTAAGGGCAGTGTGAGAGGCAGAAAGGCAGGGACTTAACTAGGTCCACCCTCAACAGGTCATCCAGGTCCAAGTTCACTGTTGCTGGAGAGGTGTGAGGGAAGGAAAGCAAGTAAGTGAGAGCCCACAGCTGGGTCATGGCAGAGACCAGCGACAGGAGAGAGGGGTGGGGCATGCTGAGGGGATGTATCAAAGAAAAGGAGCCCCTCACTTGAGTCTGGTTGAAGACTTTGCCCAACTGAGAGTCCAGAATTTCAACAGGGCTAACAAAACTTGCCACAAAATTTGCCTGCACAGAGACATTTTTCCTTTGAAACAGCAGTGAGTCATGCTGAAGGCCTGAGTGTATGTGACTTTTAATTCGAAGGTCCTTACAGGTTTACAACTGAGAAAGGAATATCTTCTTTGAGAATCTCACAAACATGATTGTGATTTTTCTTTTTTGTAGTCAAAACATGTCTTAACTCCCTTGTGCCCTGGGATAGTAAGGATTTCTTTAATCCTTGGGAATCTATGGCTTTGGCTTTGTCTCCTCAGCCTGGACTATGCTCCAGTGCACCCTAGAAACCACCCTATGAGCTCATTTTGAAAATTTCCTAGCTGAACGTGGTGGCGCATGCCTTTAATCCCAGTACCCCAAAGACATAGGCAAGTAGATCTCTGAGTTCTAGGACAGCAGGGCTACAGAGTAACACCCAGTCTAAAAGGAGGAAGGGATGGAAAAGGAGGAGAGGGAGAACCCTAGAAACCCCTTGAGGGTTTGACTTCAGAAGTCTAACGCTGAACCTGCATGGCTCTTGCTAACTCTGGAGACATCACACCACATCTCGAATGTGTCCTGCCCATTCCCTAAGTGCCCTCCCTCCCGCTCCTTCCCCCCCAATTCCCATGCTTAAATCTATGTTAAAATACATTTTGAAAATGTGTTTTATCTGTATGGATGTTTTGTCTACATGTATGTCTGTGTACCATGTGCGTGCCTGGTACCTTTGGAGGCCAGAAGTCATCCAATCCCCTGGGACTAGAGTTACAGACAGCTGTGGGCTGCTCTATGGGTGCTGGGAATCAAACTGGAGTCCTTTGGAAGAACAACTAGTGCTCTTAACCACCAAGCCACTTCTTAATAAGTACCAAATCTGCTTCATACTGACTTGTACTGAAAAGCTTTTTTGATAGAAAAGTTAACCCTGATGGAGGTCTTTGGAAAGATCTCAGAGCCTAGTGGTGGTGGCACATGCCTTTAATCCTTGCCCTTGGGAGGCAGAGGCAGAGGCAGAGGCAGGCAGATCTCTGAGTTAGAGGGCAACTTGGTCTACAGAGCGAGTTTCAGAGGAGCCAGGACTAGTCAGAGAAACCCTGTCTGGAAAAACAAAACAAAAAGATGTAAGCTCTTGTAAGTTGCATTAGTCATCGTGTTTTTATCACAGCAACAGAGAAAAATAACTAAGACAAAGGTGATGTGGGAAGATTGTTCACTGTAAAGATTTGTCACTAGTATTGGTTTAATAAGATGCTGATAATTATACTAATAATAAGTAGCCAGGCAGGATGTATAGGCAGGGCTACCAGACTAGGAGAATTCTAGGAAGAGGAAAAGAAAGAGGAGTCACCAGCCAGATGCATAGGAAGCAAGAGGAGAATGCCTTACTGAAAAAAGGTACCAAGTCACATGGCTAAACATAGATAAGAATTATGGGTTGGTTGAAGTTGTAAGAGTTAGTTAGTAATAAGCCTGAGCTAACAGCCAAACATTTTATAATTAATATAAGCCTCTATATGTTTATTTGGAACTGAACGGCTACAGGACCAGGCAGGACAGAAATGTTCCAACTACACAAAGGGGTTCTCAATATATTTCCCGGGCTGCTCTTGAGTGCAAGCAATCCTCCTGCCTCAGTCTGCTATGCTCCACTGCCCCTGGCCCTTTTTCTTTTGTTTTTGGAGATAGGCTCTCATACACTCCAGGCTACCCTAAGACTTACTATGTCACAGAAGCTGGCCTTGAATTCCCAATCCTCTTGCCTCTACCTCCAAGGTACTGGGATTACAAACTTAAGCCAATATGCTTAGTTTATAATGATTTTTAAAAACTCACAAAAGTTGGATCACAGATATCCAATTCCTACCAGGATATGTGCTTACCTCCCCAAGCTCAGCTCTCTATTACTGTGCTGGCACGCCCCCTACTGGGAAATTAAAGAACTGCCCAATTTCAATTTCCTCATTTTAGTGGTACTTCAAATCCCAGAGTAAGTGATTCTCTAGAAATTTCTTTCCCCATAGGTCTCCCTTTAGGAATCCATAAAGCCACTGTTAACAAAATATATTATTGGATGTCCACTATATAAATCGTTCATTTACTGAGTTAGATGACCCAAGTTACCAGAGACTATAAACAGGTGACATTTGGCCAAGATTGGGCATGTGTATGCTAGTATGGGAGTGTCCTACAAAACTAAGAAGACCTTGGAAGGTCCCATGGGGGGGGTGGTATTGGCAGTAAGGACCAAAAGGAAACTGTTATTTCAGAAATGGAGGGTTTTCAAGACAGAAGGAACAAAATACGCCCTGCATCCCTCCTCACTGTCCACCCACTGAAAGGTTCAGGCATTATGCTGGCCTGTCCCTGTTACCTGGTGGAACAGGCAGTACCCTGGTCAGTCCAGGGTTCCATGGGAACTAAGTCTGCATGCAGGTGCAGAGGACGCTTTTAAAAGACAGACCCTGCCCATTTATGCTCTCTCTTTACTCTCTCTCTCCCCTCTTCTCTCTGTTGCTCTTCTCTTCTTTCTGTCTCTTTACGCTCTCTCTGCCTCTCTATGGCAACTGGCCATGGCGGTCAGCCATTAACCATGTTCCTCTTTTCTCTTAGTCTCTCTGCTCTGCCGGGCCTATAATACACTGGTTAATATGTCTCATCTTGAGCTCCTTCTTCTTCTTTATTTCTAATTTAAGCAAAAGTTTTAACACCCACCCTTCCCATCCCCATCTAGCTCTCATTAGTCTCGAGAGTCTCCAAGCCACAGTTCCTCAAAATGCCCCAGGAATTCGGTGGCACATTACCACACCCCCACACACACTCCTGCTTCTGACTACTGAGTTCAGAACCCTGCCTTTTGTTGTCAGTTGTGACCCCACACATTCCCTGCCCATAGCCTTGAGACAACTCTTTGACTCCTCCAGGGCCCATGGGAAACCTGCCATCTCTCACGGGTCTCTGTGGTCTGCTCTGCCCATCTGAGTTTACCTAAGGGGAGTCTCTGGAAGACTTCAATAGTAAAGAGAAGCCAAGCTAGCAGGACCAGGCATACTCAGAAGGCACCCTGGCTCTGGAATACAGGACACAGGTCTTCAGGCCCAAGTCCTCACTCTTTCTCTTTCAATAAGGGCTCCTCTTTGCCTTCTCCGGCCCCTCTGGTCACCCTTTCTTGAGCCCCTGGATCCAGAGGCTATACTTTCACAAAGACTAAGCTGAGGCTGCCTCAGGACTGAGGGATGCTCCTGGTCCTCAAGGAAGAGAAGCCCACTGCGGTGGAAGGAACATTGAGTTCACAGAGAAGCCATTTCATGGCCACCAGCCTCCTGATTGTTCCTGTGTTTGTTGGTTTTATTCCCACTCCTTCTAGGACACTTGGCATTTGTTCTGCAAGGCCAAAACTGGCCACTGGGTGTCAGCAACAGGCTAAAAACCTTCCCCCAGGTGACTCACTATTGCTGCCCAGACAGACAGGCTACCTACAGCTTGGCACAGTCCAGGGAAGAGAAGACCCTTGCTTGTGCTACAACCTGACCCAGAAAGAAAGGCACGCTGGATAGGCAAAGTTGACTTGAAATACCAAAACCCTAATTCTCCAGCTCTGAGCTAGGCTTGGACAGAGGGGTCTCATAGACTCCTATGCCAATCCTTCAGTGGCTCAGGGTGGTCCAAGAGAGTTCAGAGAGACCCCAATGGAATAACTGAACCAGGTCTACAAACACACACAGGCATAGTTTGGAGAACCCCAGCAGCAGAGGCCAGTGGCAAGACAGTCCCTAAGAGCTTGAGAGGAAATCCCAGGGACTGTGAGGCTCGCATCAGAGCAATGCTCCACATGTACAGAGGGGAACTCAAGAGAGAACAGGGGCCAGCTGGACCTGGGGGCAAAGAAGATTAAGTGGGCTGGGGGTGGGGCTTAGGTGATCGGGCTGCTGAAAATCCACAGAGGACCCATGAAGCCAGCTCAGCTGTAGAACTAAGTTCCAGGTAGAGAGGAAGCCAAGGCATGGGAAGGGAAAAGTTGACAATTTCCCAGAGCCAGACAGGCTGCAGGGAGGGGACTCAGAAATGAAGAAGGGACAGGGACTGCAGGAAGACAAACACACATAGAAGGGTACAATTGTGTTTGCAACTGAGTCCAGTACAGGAAGGATAGCTTCAGTTTCATTTGGGGCAATAATAGGGCCTAATCTTGGGTGATTGGGAGACCTTGGGTGCAGAGAAGACAGGCTCTCCTTGGGACTCCTTTGGACACTTTCCACAGAATACAGAGGGAGGAGGAGCACTTCTGAGGATCCTAATGTCTACCCTTCTTCTGCCCCATAACTCCACAGTTCCATCTCTCACTTGTATGGGACAGTGTCTCTCCCTCAGCCTCAATTAACCCTTCTGACCTGGGCAGAGCAGGACCAGCTGTCCTATGAAGACTTTTCTAGTGTGACCAGCCAAAGTGGAAGGGGTTCTGCAATGTGGGGACAGAACACACTGACCCAGACTAAAGGAGGAGGACTTTAATCCGAGTTTTTTTGCCTGTAGCTTGAGTCCATAAAAGGGGACAGGGACTCCCACTCTGTGGCTTCTCTTGGGCTCTAAAGGCCTCTGCTGGATGCAGGCAGCTTTGGGTTGAGGTCATGGACACCAACGCTGGAGTCTCCAAATGCTCCTGGGGGACGATCACAGGCTAATGCCTTAGCCTTTGGAGGTGTTTGATGGCCTTCTTCACATGCTTGTCTTTGGGATCTGAACAGATGGACCTGCCCTGGATAGTCACAAACCTACACGGGAGAAGCCAGTGAGTATGAAAACAGCAAAGCCTTCCAGAGCTCTGCACCCAGCCATACCTGCATTGACCTGAACTTGGAGGTCCCTGGGAAAGAACTAGATGAAGTCACATATGCCATTAGCAATTCTTTACTACTGGGGTCCTGACCCCATTCCAGCCTCCCTAGGGCCAGGGCTGCAGGACTTCATGCCTGGCCCCCCAGGGGCTGAGCCTGACAAGCAGAAGTGACACAAAGAGGCTTGGACTGTGTGCCATCCTCTTTTCAGCTCAGACACAGAGTAGAAGGTGACTGCATTGCTGCCTACTGGCTCTGTTACCTGGAATATCTATCCATCTTGGGGCCTCAATTTTACCATAAATAAATGAAGAGATTGAACCCCTCTCAACTGTGTGGTGTGTAAGAGCTCCCCCCGAGTGCCCAGAGCTGCTGGCCTAGGGGAGAAGGCTCTGATCTCTTTCCCTCTTTCTCAGTGGCCTTCCTGGACACTCCAAGACCCACCCATTTAACACTCTGGGTCAGAGGTATAAGAATGGGACAGAGGGGAACTCACACGATGGCATCCCTGTGACAGTCAACTGAGGTCCTGTACCACGTCACCAGCTTCCTGATGGGAATGGCCCCCTTGAAGTACTCCAGGCAGCACTCTCGGCCTACATTGGTGGCTCGAGCTAGAAGAGCAATAGGAAGCAGGTGTCCTAAAGGTCTGCTCATGTGCCCGAGGACCCATGGAGTGTCCCCATGTGTGCCTGTGTGAACCTATGGATGATAACTGCATGTCTATATTCTCTTTGTCTATATTCTGTTTTTTTCCTGGTGTGTTTGTGTGTGTTACCAGGGGCGGGTGTCTGCGCATGCTTTGGCTCTTTGTGTTTGCATGTTTGCACATTCATCTGTGTGTGATTACGTGCACAGCTGTCTGTGTCTAGGAACCTTATTTCAACTTCCCTTTCTAAACTAAATATAAAAATCTCTTTTCAAACATTCTTGGAACCAATTCTCTTCTGTCTTTATGTTGTTCCCTGATGATATGTGAAGCCCATTAGTGACACTAATGATAGCAATTCTTAGAATTGTTCATTCTGCATCATAAGTCCACACCATCAAGGCCACTATGTCCCAACATCTCAGGATAAGATGTGCTGCCCGTGGCTTTTCACAGGAGGGTATCCACCTAACACCACCAACGTCATCCCCACCACTATCAGTACCATTATTCACCCCCCAGTGCTCATGCTGCCAGCCCTTGTGACTTGTTAAGAACAGACGGGATATAAATTGCACAGATTGTGTTTCTGCTGTGGTCTGTGTGGCAGAGGGGTCCCTTCCCTGCCCTCTCCTATCTGTGCCCAGCTCTCACCAGTGCTGGCATACTGCAGAGCAGTCCCCAGAAGCAGGGCAGCCAGGAACAGAGTCCGAAGTGTCAGCATGGTGCCAGAAACGCAGGTGAAGATCTTCATGGGTCCCTCTGCTTGTCTTGGTGCCCAGCATTGAGGTGACCTATTTAAACTCTTGGAGGTCCATTTCCCGCCTTCTTGTCCCCTCCTTCAAACCTTCCAGACTAGAGAAATTCAAAGAATTTGAGATAATTCAGTAGAAGTCCAGCTTGGGAATGTTTGTGGCTTTCCAGAGAATGGGCACTCCACTCAGGACAGAGGTGGGAGTCTGTGTCTGGGGCCACAACAACGACATACTTCTCTTTTCAAAGGGAACATTTCTTGGTTCCTCTATTAGAATCCAGGGCCTCAGCTTCAACTCATTGCCCTAGTACTGGTGACCTTCCTTTTTGCCTGGTGCCCTGGAGGCAGGATGGAGCGCCAAACAGAGCTCTTAGGGACTATGCCAATCAGGGCTGTGAGGTCCAGAAGGTCCACAGAGGGTGAGCAGTTACAGTGCTGATCTGTAGATAAGACCTAACTCCATCCTGTCCCGAGGAAGCCAGAGCTCAGGTGGGGCTGAGAGACTGTGTCCTCTCCTCCTTGCCTGACCCTGACCCCAGGAGTGGGACTTTATTCACTGTGGATCCACATGTGTGCTTCAGTGGATTAGAGAGCCCAGTTCCCTCAGTGGGGCACCTTGCCTCTGCTATGAGTGGAATGAAGAGGCTGGGAGATGGTGATGCTCACCCCTACAGGAGCCTCACACCATAGCCTGTCCTGGGATGGTGACCAGTATTCTCAGGCCCCAAACACGCTTTTTAGAAAGTTCTGTGGAACTTTCAGCATAGCCCGAGGCTGTCACATTAGTGCTCAGGAAAGAGTTTCAGGACAAGTCATTATGAAGCAAAGTCAGGGTTTATTGAGAAAAATAATCAGGCCTAGTGGCTTAGGCCTGGCACCCTGGCTACTTGAGAGGTTGGTTTCAATTCTGAGGTCAGCCTGTACTACCAGAGTCTATGGGTGTTAGCAAGAACCTATCACAAATGCACTGCTTTGATGGGTATCCCACAATGCTGTGTAACCTAGGATATCCCACAATACCACAGATAAGATGTGAGCCACCATGGCTGGTTTGGGTGTTTGCTTTTTAATATTTAAATTTTACTTATTTTTAAAATATTATTCATTGTAATTTTTATGTGTGTTGCTGTTTTGTCTGCATGTGTATGCCTGTATAAGGGTGTCAGGGACTTGAGTTACAGACAGTTGTGAGCTGCCATGTGGTTGCTGGGAACTGAACTCAGGACCTCTGGAAGAGCAGTCAGTGCTCTTAGCCTCTGAGCCATCTCTCCAGCCCCAAATTTTACTTATTTTTATGTGTACAGGTATTTTGCATGTAGGACACTGTAGCAGGCACTCTGCTAACTGAGCCACAACCCAGCTCCACCCACAATTTATGCTGGAACTCATGGCTCTCAACCAGTAAGAAACAAACCAGGGTGAGGAGTCCTTTTCCTTTGCCGTGTTGCTTTCATTTTCTTTCTCTTCTGCCTCAACACCACAGTATCGATGAATCTGGTCAGTCTCCCAGACTAAGGCCTTCCTAGGCCAAAGCCTCCCATCCTATTCTGGTGGGGCAGGGTGGCGGAGGCCTGCAGGTGCCTCGGCTTTGATTCCTTCATGAGTTTTGGGCCTGCAAGTGACCAGAGGGTGTTTGCAATAACACCCCATGCTCCCTCATCTCCTCTCATGCTGTCAGGCATGGCCTCATATTAATCACTGAACTGCCATTACATTTTCATTAGAAGTGATGGTAGGAACAGCAGACTCCTCGGAACAGTGTGCAGTAACGCATCTGAGGTCAAGAGGAGAAAGTCTAGGTGTTCTTTCCTCATTGCAGGAAGCTGTGTTGCTTCAGGTCTGAACCCTGGGCTTTCCCCTACTTTGGCCAAACTTCCCTGGGGACAGGGTCCTCCTCCACTGCTTCATTGTGTGACCTGGGGCATCTCATAAATGCTCTCTGGGCCTCAATTTTATTCTCTGTAGAGGGAAGAATAGACCATTTCCAGGAGCCTACTTAAGATGGTAGAATTGGCAAAGATGTGGTCTTCCTTTGGCAGGACTCATCCTGGCAGTTCTCTGCTTGCAATAGCTGAGTGGTGGTTTTGCCTTTAGCTTGTCTGGTTGGGCCCTTGCTCCCCAGGCCAGGTTTCCCATGTTTCAGAGAGAGCGGCGGGGGAGGGGTGCACACCCTTATGGCCACAGAGAGGAGTGTCCATACCTAGCGGTGTCTCAGTTAAGGCTGGGCTGGTCTGAGAACCAGGGGGCAGGAGGCTGTGACCTGGAGACAGGAGCCCTGCTTGAGGAGAAGGTGGGAGAGAGCTGTCTGCTGATCTCCCCCTTTTGGGTTTCTCGAAGCCACACTAAACACCCCTTCCAGGCCCTCTGCACCCTTCCCAGTGGCTCCTACCCAGCCTCTTGTTGCAGAGGCCAGCACATGCTGCTCTGTGCTAGGGCACAAGAAGGGATGATTCTGCTGCAATCAACAATTCTGTTACCAGGGACACAGCCTGAGCTCCACTTCGGAAACTCCCCGCCCCTGTGGGTTTCAAGACCTCTGTTCTACTGTACACTCAGACCGTTTCTCCAGAAAGACCCAAATTCCCTATCCTTCTAGGGAAGCAGCCATGGTAGCAGGAACCAAAGGCTCTGCACTGTCACCTCCTGACAAGAGGTGGGCGGAGCAGTCACTTGGGTGTGCCCTCAGGGCCCTGCAGCCCATTCCCCACTCTTGGGGAGGTTCCCCAGGAAGTGGGAGGGGGCTGCAGGTGAGATAGGTACTTGGAGGAGGGGCAATTCTCAGGTCTTTGCAGGTAGAATTCCTAGCGACTGGAAGGGACATTTATACCCAGGGCATAGAATAGGCAGAGATACAGAGGGGGAGCAAATGCAGAGGTAAGCTGGGGAGACTAGGATGGACCTGGGTTGGGGGAGCAGCCCAGCCACTAGGTCAGAAATGCACAGCGTGGCACTCTGCAAGGAAGAAGAGGTAAATACAGGGCCAGGCTCATTTCAACACTGCTGGGGAAGCCATGTGAAGGGACAATTGTGAGGGGGCTTTCCTCACCAGGGATTAGCCACACCATACCTGCCCCATTATCCCTGCAATGAAGTGAATTCCCTGGGGACCTTCCTAACGGGATGCCCTAGCATCTTTGGGCATGTCATATTGAGACCCCTCCACCTAAAGGCAGCCAGACTCATGACCTGTGCTTTGACTCCCTCTCCTGCCTCCACCTCTGAGCTCCCGCCTCAAGAGAGTCCTTGGAGCAAAACCAGCTAGACTCTAGCTGCTAAATGCATTGGGAACCCTCCTCCCTATTTGATCCGGAAGGAGCTGGGCTGGTGGAATTCTCGGTCTTTTATCCTGAAAGGTAGGAAATGTCCCTGTTCCTGTCTCAGATGCTTACTAGGCTTGGAGAAAGCCTATTCCTAAGGTTTGAGTCAAAATTAGGAAGTCCTAGGTTGCAGAGCAGGTAGCTGGGCCAGAAGCTCTTCATTGTCTTCAATAGTTTGGGGCAGAAGTGTCACCCCAGGCCTTGTCCAGTAAATCCTCAATTCTAACACCCAAGAATCTTTTCCCAACATCATCTGAGGAAGGCTACTACTCCCCACATCCCCACGGCCCTCATGCAGTCACCTCTTTCTTTCCTTTCCTGGCCTCAGCCCTTCCTACAGCCCACCACCTCCAGTTGCTCAGCTTAGTTGTCTGACACCCAAGACTGTTCCTCGTGTCCAAAGCATTCGTGTTCCCCCAACCACCACCTTCCTTCCACTCTGGTCTTCTTCAGATCACTCCTGGGACTCCTTCTTGTGCCTTTGACCCTACAACCTACTGTGTGCTCAAAGGTCATCAATCTCCTATCATGCCCATCTTCACATTGTATTTTATGCTGTCTTACACGCAAAAGGCGGTGGAATACACACACACACACACACACACACACACACACACACACACACACACACACACACACACACACAAGAAGCAAGGATCCCTTAGCACCTAGAGAATCTAGCAGGTACTCAGTAAAATGCATCTGCTAATGAATGGAAGAGGTGTGTGGTTGGATGGATGGGTGAATGAATGGCAGATGGGACAATGACTGGATTGGTGGCTTTGCAGATGAATGGGTGTGCGGGTGGACTGAGAGATGAACACACACATGGATGCATCTACATATGCTCGGCCACTTACTAGTTTCTGAACTGCAGAATTGAGAATAATTTGTTTATTTTGCTTTAATATCTATTTTCCTGTGTTGTGCAGGCTGTCTTGAATTCATAATCCTCTATCTAGCCTTAGCTTCCTGAATACTAGCATTAGAGGGATGTAGCACCATGTCCAATTTAACAAATTTTATTAATGTTATTATTAAAATAGACGAGTTTCACTAATGTAGTCCTGATAGCCTTGAAATCGTATTTCTCCTGCCTTAGCTTCCCAAGTCTTGGGATCCTAGGTGTGAGCCACCCTATGGGGTTTAACTTACTGCCTCGCTGTGTGTCCCAGTCCTTATGAGTCTCTCTGTCTTGGATGAGGCAGAGAATTGAGCTAAATGCCTCTTACATCAGGAGGTCAGGCATATTCAGGGTAGTTAGGGTGGAGACATGACCCTTTATCTGGTTCACCACTTCCTGAGGATTGTGGCCATGCCTGACAAGATGAATTGCTTCTATGGTAACTGGGACCACACAACCTTCCTTCATCCCAGAGGGGCCTCCTTCTCACCCACAGCTCAACTTCTGCCAGAAGAACCTTCCAGGAGTAGGTGAGGGGAAACCAACAATGGCACAATAATTTCTGATAATAATAGCAACAGTTACTACCTATGAGGATCTACACATGCCGACCATGGTAGGACACCAGGAGCTCTCTCCACCTGCCCCTCTGCCTCATAAAGAACTCTGCGTGACCCACGCCCTTCTGGATGCCTTTTTACTTCTTCTTTCACTGACAGCACCACCTTCTCCTTCGTGTGGTCTACCCTTCCCACTAATACTTCCTCTCCACCCAGCTGTGAGGTGATTGCTCCTTGAAGTATAGTTGGAGGGAAGCTGCTCTATGTGGGCCTGATTCCTCCAAGGCTACTCCTCCCAGGATGCGTGGCCACCCAGCAGA